AGCAGTATACTATTAGTGGCTGTAGCTCATAACCCTAATGAGCAATATTTTCCTTTAGCTGTGGCAGTGGTGGAAATAAAAAATAGGAATTCTTGGACATAGTCCTTGAAAAATTTGTTTGATGACATTAGCACTATGGTTGAAAAAAAATATGGATATCTCTTTCAGATTAACAAAAGATAATTAAGATTTAAAGTACTTTAATTATCATATTTTTATTTATTTATTCATATAATAATTATTGATTTTAATGTATAGGGTTTGGTTCAAGCATTTGGAGGGTTGCTTGAAGGTGTTGAGCATTGTTATTGTGTAAGACATTTGTATGCCAATATAAAGGCAAAGTATGGTGGAGGAACTTTGGTGAGAGACTTAGTGATTCATGTAGTAAAGGCAACTTACCCAACAAAATAGGAAGGGATAATGAATGAGTTGAAAAAAGTTTTAAAGAATACATATGATCACTTAATGACTTTTCCTCTATCTTATTGGACTAAGGCACACTTTGATGACTATTATAGGTCTGATATGATTATGAATAACATATCAGAGTCTTTTAATGGTAGATTATTATAAGCAAGAGAACATCTAATTATTGGCTTCCTTGATTGGATCCAAACTTATTTAATGAATAGATTTCATCAAAATCAAGTAAAAGTAAAAAAATATCATGGCAAGAGATATGTGTACCCTCATCCTCGTAAGAAGCTTGACAAAAAGATAGAAGAATTAGAAAATGGGAACCAAGGAGGGCTAATAATGATCAATTTAAAGTGTTATATAACTCTCAAAGGTTTATTGTTAATCTTTATTCCAAGTTGTATACTTGCTGATGGTGGCAACTAACTAGAATACCTTACAAGTTTGTTATAACTCACTTTCAAAGTTTCATTTGTTCAATATTTATAACTAATATTTTAGGCATGTTGTTAGTTGCATTTATGCCAACCAAATAAACCTCATTGATTATGTGGATTCAACAATATGTCTTAAAGCCTATGTGGAGTGTTATGCTCCTGTAATCTAGCCTATTAATGGAAAAGACTTATGAGAGCAAAATTAGAATACGGATTCCACTTGCAACCAAAAATGAATTTTTGGTTACAGATGCTAGGAGATAAAGCACCACACAAATTTAGTTGATGAAAGATTTAAGGAAGTTATCATTGAATTAACATATAATGATACTTTACCAGTATATACCTTTAACTAACAAATGTAAAGAACCTACCAATAAGGAAAAGAAAAATTGAGAAATAGAATCTTCTATGGATGCTACAAATTTCAATTTCTAAAATAGAGAAGGAAATTGTCACTTCAATAGGGTACATATCCAAATATGAATTTGATGATTAGATTTCAAATTTAAAATAGTAAAGGTGATTGCCACTTAAAAAGCACACATGTCTAAATCTTAAATTGAAATTCATTTCCACAACAAAGAAGCATAGTTTCTAGATTAAACACATTTGAAATTACAATTCTGTAAGTAACAAGCATAGAGTTAGAGAAGTTACCACTAAAGGCTATGCCAGAGGAAGTGACAACACAAAGTTTGAATGACGACGTTCTCCTGTCTCGTAAATGGCTGCCTCAACATGCTAGATTTATCCAAGAACTTGATCTAAGTTTTGACAAAAAAGAAACCCATAAGTTTGGCAAAGATGTTGAGGGAAGGTATAATCCTAGTAGTGAGATTTAATTTCATTACTGTGAAACTAAATGGTATGCTCAACAAAAGGCTTACCACAAGAGCTCTTATTATTAACTGATTAATCCATGGCAGCATCTCTACCAAACCATCTTCCCTTCTCCTCCTCTCTTCTTTGTGTATTTGAACCTTGGTGAACTTGGTGTCTCCCTCTGCAGCTTTGCCAAACCTCCTTTCTCCTCTGCTTTGTGAACCTACCCTAGTGAAGTCAGTGTCTCCCTTTACAACTCTGCCAAACCATCTCCCTTCTCCTCCTCTCTTTAGAGCTCTGCATGCCCCAACCCTAGTGAAATAAAGGCAAACCAAAATAGAGATAGCTGTAAGCCAGGGCAATTTTCTTTGAAAAATTACTTTTCATATGTGGCATATATTTTTCATCTTATGCCACTTGTAAAAAAAAAATGCCCATTGGACTGCCACATTGTGGTTATTTAACAAAATTTTTAACACTATTAGCACTTATTAACAATTTTAAATAAGAAGAACTAACTGAAATACCAGTGTAAACTTAAAGGACTTAATAAAAAGAAAAAAAAACTATAAAAACCTGATTAAAAACTTTAGAAAACTATAAAGACTAGGTGATTAATTTTTTCTAATATTAAAATGAGTATTATATTGATGAAGAGACAAAGTGAGGAAGATAAGAAAGAGAAAATGACAAAGCTTTGCATCAAAACCAAAACAGTGAGCATGAGCCAAACAGGAAAAATTGGAAACAATCACCTCAAACCAAATCAGCAGCTAACGCCTTGCTAGTTAGCTACATTGTATTCCAATCAGTCTCTACTTTTCAAACTTATTATTGTAAACTGTCATCTCTTTCTTGTTTAAACATGACATTTAGCTTTCTAATTTGTACCATCATACTGCCTCCGTTTTCTAGAGACAAATAATTCAATCATGAAATCCAAAAAACTTTATGCCTCGTTTGGTATCCTGAAAATGTTTTTGATGGAAATGGAAATGAAAATGGATATGGATATGGAAATGAAAATGAAGGTGGAAGTAAGTTTTAAAAGTATGTTTAGTATGTACATGGAATTATGATATACTTTTTATTTAATATATGCATTTATATAATCAATATACTAAAATACCCTGTCAATTTTTTTAATTATGATATATTTTTATTTAATATATGCACTTATATAATCAATTTACTAAAATACCCTATCTATTTTTTTAAATTATGATATATATTTTTATTTAATATATGCATCTATATAATTAATTTACTAAAATACCCCTGCCAATTTTTTTAATTATGATATATTTTTTATTTAATATATGCATATTTACTAAAAAAACTTTTGATTTACTTCAATGATTGATGAAGGGGCAAATATGTCAAATAATTTCATACCTGGAGTTATTTTTGTCTAAAAAAATTCACTTTCATGGAACTCATCTCATTTCCATGGGTCTTATCATGGAATCCAATTCAACCTATTTTGATGAATTTCATTTCCACATGAAAATCCATTTCATGCAAATGTGAATTGCAATTTCATTTTCATTTTCATGTCTCCATTTCCAGCATACCAAATGAAGCATTAGTTACAATTAGTTAAGCTTCTTAAATATGTCATTAATTTTTTTTTAAAAAATATTCATACTTAATATTTGAGCATAGTGACTTATTAATAACCCTAACTTAATATTTCTAAATAATGTAATAAAATTACCAGACAATTGTCCAATATTTTTTTATATTTAAGTACTAAAAATGCTTTCATTTATCTCTTATAAAAAGAAATGAAGGAGTATGCATGATTTAGAAAGCTTTTTCCATCTCGGTCCATTTTGAGATATATTTCATGGCTATATATAGGCAATATCAACAAATATAAATAATTAAAGGTTCCAAAGCAAGATCATTATTCTTGCGAGCTCTCATCCCCTTTTGTTTGTCTTTGTAATTCTTTCAATTACTTAGAAAATGACAATTCCTCAAATGACGCTTCAATTCTTTAAGAGATTAATCTTATAATTGCCGACTATGTAGATATCTTGAAAAAACAAAAAAAAAACTTTATTTTTAATGTTAATTCCAATTATTGGCATGGAACCTCATAATACAGTGAATGTTTTATGGCAAGCAAGCTTCGGATTCTTCACAATTGCCCCTCGGCCATACAAACATACGAGTTCTCTTCTTGCTAGAGATATTGATTGACTGTGCTAATTAAATACCAAACTCAACCAAAACGGTAAAAAAGTTTTCTGTAGGGGGGGCCGTAGAATATCAATTCTCAACATCTTTATATTGCCTATAGATGGATATAGTGCAAAGCATAGAAACCTGATCCATGGAGTCTATGGCTTGTCATGTTGCAGAGTCCATTATCAATAAAATTGAATTTGTTGGGTCAGAGTTATACTGGAAATAGCAATTGCCATATTTTTTAGGGAGAATTACATCCAAAAATTTGGAAAGGAAGTTAATCACAGACAAGTACCAATGACAAGTCCATTCCAGAAAAAACAAACATATATTCCTATCTTAACCATAATATATTTTGCATTAGTTTTTTGTCTATAAATAACTCTTTCGTTAGGTCCTTAAATATGATTCTCCTTATTTTTAAGTAGGATCATAATCAACTTAATTGCTCATTTTTATTGCGGGTGGGTGAGCATCATTGAAACAGCAAAACAAACTTCTAGGGTCATGGAGATTGAACAGAGATTGAACTTAACTCCGTACGTTTGTACAGAGATTGCACAAATATTGCATAGAAGTTCTATGGTATTGACTAGAATTTGCATGGAGATTGAACGAAAATCATCAACTTCTGGTGCTGCATTTTTTCCCCCATTGGAATTCTTGGTTGAAGATATGCGGAGAAGGTTGTAGACATGAGCTCATATAAAAGGATGAAAACTTTTATATTGGCTCTAGAGGTTGTCAAGTCTTCCCTTTGATATGAACATTCTTATTGATCCAGGCTTTTCTTAAAAAGTAATGTGCCTTACTGTAAGGATAGAGACGCAAAAGTCGTTTACCTAACTCTAAATTTGTCCTCGTTTCCAGAGTAGCTATTTACTTAAGATTGATTTGAAAATCTGATCGGTGAGAAGGCACCAAACTAGTAGAGAATTTCCATAACAGATTCCCATACAGTTGGAGTGGGTTAAAACTTATAAATAATGGTAAATTCCAGGGCCTCTGATTAGTCACTTGCAATATTTTCAAGTTTTGCAGCTTGCCTTTCCCACCCAAATAAATAATGGTAAATAAAAATAAAATAACAGTCTTTCTACTTGGAGATGCGGCAGACAAAGATCACTCCAATTATCGGCATCGTATCTCATTAGAAGCTTCTCCTAAGTTCATGTGACACAAATTATGCAGGGAGCTTTCATGCCCTTTGATTACAACAATCCCTAGGGCTCGATAACGCATCTAAATATTGGTCCTTTCCTAAAATCAGAAGAGTTCAGATAATATGAAGTCAGCTTCATGAATTTCCTTGTACAAAGTTTAGATGATAATGCAGAGAAGTAAATGGATGCTGTAATTTGCCAGCAATCACTTTCTCCGCAAAGCTTCAAAATATTATTCAATCATGATTTTTCTTTCTTGGTATTCAAATTTGTAGGGCATTTGCAATGGACCCTGCCAGACTTAACACTTCAAATGGAGCATTATTTGCTATAGCTTTCACAGTGACAGGGCAAGAATCAGTGATCCAGAAGTATGTAAATGCATTCTTCGAGCCTTCTGCGAATTAAATTTAACCGGTATAATCAGAGATGTAAAAATATAGTAATCCAGTATTTGCAAATTAAGCAGAAACTCACCATTTTTATGAGTGAAACGCTCCCATGATTGTTTAGGAAACACGCCGTGGGTGACATAGGCGCTCACCTTCGCTGCACCATGAGCTGCCAAGACTTTCTAGAGAAATCCAATAGGAGAAAGACAAAAATGTTAAGCTGCAACTAGATGCAAATGATTGCATTGATAATACAGTTCTCACGCACATTTTAAGTTGCAGCTCATTTGAATTGCAAACGTAACATCCATAAACTCTTACCAAAAAAATTCATCCAGTGAATATCACCTCAACATGAGAAACTGTAAATAGAAAGGGAAATAAAACTTCTGATCCAAAATCATTTGCCACTTGCCAGTCACCATTAGGTAAAAATGAACAGGAGAGCTAGAGAGATACTCAATCTCATTGCTCTAGCAATGGATCTAATTTCCCCTGGTGAAAAGTTGTGTTACAGTTAAGTGTTACGAAGTATTCTAGAAATTCAATAAGGTGGTTGATGCAGGAGGATGCTGGAACATCATGCAAGCTTGCCAATTCTCTTTCAATGTTACCACAATGAATTTTCAAATATACTGCAATTTCCATAAATCATAAAACCTAAAAATCCTAACAACCTATGTCACCAAGGTCACAATCATCATCCACAGCCTTTTTTCTTCTTTCTAATGCTCCCCATTCCTCTGCCTCCAGACCTTATACCTTCCAATTCGCAAAACTCAATCACTCAACTTCCACCCAAAATCTGTTGTACTTGTTTGTTAGGCGTATACAATTGTGCATTCATATGGTTTTATTGGTAGACTAAGAGCAACTTAATGTAGTTAAGTTTGGGACCCAAAAACGTGTGCATATTCCTTTAGGAAAATTTGTAGGTAGTTCTTAGGTATGCCAACCCAGATTATTTATCAACAAGTTAAAAGCTCACCAACTGGCACAGAAATACATTTAATTTGATCAGGAAAACTTTTGAAAAATTCTCCTATGTTACCCACAAGTATAACCTTCTATAGCCTCAGAACCTCCGGGATTTCTTACTTGCAGTGGGTTAGAGCCATTGCTCTATTTGATCTTTTTGTGTGGCCTAAACAAGTAACCATGAACTACAATCAAGAGTATAGATTCCACAATCAAGCCAAGGCATGTCAAATCCTATTGATTCTGTGAGTCTCCAACAGTGTGGGCACAAGAAATGTGTGTCAATTCTCTAGAGAAACTATTCAAACCCCATAAGATATAACACTTTGGGACTACAAGTTATAATCTATGCTAGGTGCTTAGGTAACTAGTTTCCATTAGGAATGTCAGGGGCACGGGTAAGGCGTCTTTCGAAACTGTGAGTACAGAATAAAGGTATACTGCCTGGAAGATTGTATAACTAACCTTGACAAAAAGGTTGTGAAACTAACCTTGAGGGTGATGTGGGCACATGGTGCAAAGACAGGGGAGGCTAATGGAATTCAGTTATAGGCTGTTTTGGGGTTAAATATGGATTGGGGGAAAAGGGAAGGCTTGAGGAATTCCTGGAGAAGACTGAGGGCCTAGTAGTTTGTCTTTACTAAGTTCCTTTTCTCTTACTTCTGGTTTGCTGTTTCCCATGTTTTATTCTGCTAGTTGTGCTGTCATTAGTCTTTAGCATATGTAAGCCAAAAGATCTAAAGCAATGGTCATCTCTTGTTTTATTTTGTTTAATGACAACAGACCATCATACAACAATTGTTTTCCACTCATTAAGGACCTAGTGCTTGTATGGATCTTATAATGCTGATCCAGAAAATTAATATAACATCTAAAAGTAATATGTGCTGGCAAGAATATTTATATTGATGCATGTTCATTAAGAATGCATCTGATACACAGGAAATGTTTAAAAAAGTATTCTTGTTCACTTTAAAAGTACATAGATAGGGATGTGGATAGAGAAAGATTTGCAAGGATGGAAACCCCATTCAATTATCCCCAACCATGGCAAGAATGAGAAGCTGCATAAGCACAATATTCCTTCAAAAATCAACAACTTTATAGATTGAATCACTGACCTGACACTCAATAAGAGTACCTCCAGACTGGACCAAATCATCAACAATGACTACATGACGTCCAATAGGGTTCCCTTCTTTTAGTCGAACTATCCTCTTGTCACCTTCACGAACTTTTGTACAAACCAACTGCCACTTCAAAGTATTAGAAGGACAATGAAAGAATTACTTACAGAGTAAAATGAGATACTTATAGTTCTAGGAGACTAACCACAGGAAAATTCTCAAACTGCTTGTGGAATCGCTTCCAAGCACCATCATCTGGAAATGCAATAACTATCTGAAGAAACCAACAATTGGGAATTTAGGATATAAAAAATTAAGGCAACCGACACTGCAAGGTGCCATTAACATAATGTAATCATTTCCTCCAACATTCCAACATTAAAGATAAAACATGTGTAAAGTATAGTATAGTACTCACATTATCAGCATCAGGAAGCTGGCGCAGGCGTTGCTTTAACAATGGAATTCCAGTTTCAAACAAAGGCAAAACCTCATCTCCAAAGTAAAACCTCTCCTGCATGATTTGCACAACTACAGCATAATGATACAGTGGAAAATGCTAACATAGTTTTTATTTTTTAGTGAAAGCAATGAAAGAAAAAGTAAAAAATAAAGTGTTTAAGATACATCTAGAATATAAGGAAAAATTAAAAGAGCCAGAATTAAAGCATAACATACATCATACAAAAGTGAAGCAATCGTACAAATGATTAGCCACTAACAACACCACTAAAAACAACCACAATCCACAAGGATCTCAAATAAAACTAAAACTCCAAGCATACTACTTCCATTTTATGCATTAAGTATACAAACCTGCAAAGCATGTATATCATATATGACTAAACTAGTTGGGCCACCTCTTGATACAGGAATATCAGAGAGCATCCTGGCAAGGGTGAATGCAGTTGCTACATCTCCTTCTTCTTCCATGCGTTCAAAGGACCCAGTTGGAAAGAAAGGTAACACTAAAGTGAAGGAGGCAACAAATAGACGCGGGAGTGCATATATGACAGACAGTTGTTCAAAAACAAGTGCTGGAGTGCTGAAAGATGCAAGAAAAGCAACATGTTGACCTCGGAGCTCTTCTGCATTATGTATGTAAATATTTGGAAATCCATCAGCAAAAGACCTGGTCAAGATTCAAAAAGGAAACAGAATCATCATTCCATATATGTTTTCAATGACAGAACTATGTTCATAAAATAACTTCTTGTTATAGTTTGATGAAATTGCACATTTGCTTTAAAAGACCAGACCCACAAGTAGTCAAGTATGTGAAAGGACCTTTATGGAAAACAAAGCGAATAAAATTAAGAAAGGAACATAAATTAAATAATTTATACAATTAGAAATGATAAAATAATAAGAAATCAAATCAAATCAAGTACAATAAAATAGGACGCATGAATTGCATAACTTCACTAATTCATATAACTAAAAAATATCACAAAATAAAATTTCAATGCAAATTAGGCCAACACAAAGCATTAAAACATTAGTGGACAGCCAGACTGACCATAGCAATATTTTTCCCCAGTAATCGTAAGAGAACCTAAGGCAGTCCTCCACATCAATATATATTACACAATATTCACAATGTTTTCATCTAACACCACCATGTTTCATGTTAATCCCGAGCCTATATGAAGAGATACCGTAGCCTGGTAGCTAGTGAAACCCAGATTCACAAATAAACAAAAGTTTATTCATGCAGAAGTTTTTCAACTAGTACTAATAAAAATTCACAAAAAAAAAAAAAACCACCCCAATATATATGGAGGGTTAGTTTTAGAACGTGGGTTGGGGGCTCCCACACCTTAAGATTGAGCCCATGACATTATCAGACCAAAAAGGCTGAGGTATTGGTGTTGGTATTATTGTTAAGCCTTAAAATTGGTTGAAAGAGCAGTTATGAGTTTGCTTAACCACCTCCAGTAGCTTAAATTTCACCTCATGATCAAAGGCAAAATCATTTGTCAAGGCTGCTACACAGTCTTCACTTTGGAAACATTTAGGAGAAACAAACAAATGAAACAATAACCCCATAACATTAACAGAAACACCAAAACTGGCGCATTACATAGGGGTGCCCAGATTGAGAAGGGAGAACAAAATATAAGCTTTTCAAGAGGAAGAGGAATTGTATACAAGTCACTGGAGGTCACAAGAAAAAAAGGCAGAGAAAGAGAAGTGAGAAACCTCCAACTGATATTCTGAAGAGTGATATGATCAGATTCTGCAGCAACCTTGCGAGCAAGGTCTTCACATTCGAGGCAGTAGAACAGATTGATTTGCTTCTTCCAAGTCTTCTCCGTTGCCATTGCTCTCGCTTCAACAGTGCTAGCGGAGCGGACAACGCCGGCAATTTAGGAATGTAAAGGGTTTAGGAAGACAGAATAAATATACAGTGGGCTTGCGACTGCGTGAAGAAAACGAGGGTCGTAGGATGTGTTTGCCAACGGGTTTCAAGTGCCCTTTGTTTGGTCTTGGCAAAAGTATGTGTTCATGGATGCTTGATGTAATTTTTTTTTTTTTTTTTGGGGGGGGGGGGTGGGTTTGGTAAATCTCGGTTTCCCGTTGTGTGAACGTACTTCTTCCCCAGACTGATGGAACCTGCTTTTCTGTTTAGCGTTTAGCGTTGGGAGCATTAACGACAAAATTATATCCTCAAACAGCTCCTGGCAGTCTGGTAGAGAAGAATAATCGCATTCCCATCTCATGCATCGTCTTGGGAAGACGAAGAAATCGTGGAACACACAGAGCGTCAAATCATCCCACTGTTTTTGAGACCCGTCGCATAAACAAAGCATCATAGCATCGAGAGAGGCATTTGAAAGATTTAAGTGGTTTAGACTTTAGAGAGTAACATGGATTGGAGAATGCAAAGAAGAAAACGTACCGCGAGAGAGATGGAGCTGCAACGTGGGACAGGAAGCGAAAGACGGGAACGGAAGTGAGAGAGCTAGCTGTGATTAGGTTGATATCCACTGGGATAATGGCTCGCATGTGAATTGCATTTTAGAGTTACGTTCCTTTTATATTATGTTTTTTTCAGTATTTATATTTAAAAAAAATATAACTTTTAATCCTATATTAGTTAGTTATTACAGGTACCTATACTTTTTTTTAACATTATAATCATTATATTTTTATTTTTTGATATTATGGTTCTATCCATGAATAAAGTATAAAAATTTTAAAAAAAAATTTAAAACACTAAAAATAAAAGTGTAGGATTTAGAATATAAAAAAAATGTACGAACTTATAATAAAGCGCGAGCAAAATATAAAGATATAAAATTATATTTAAAAAAAACTCATTCATGCAAACTTTTTAAACCGTACATTTTGTATAAATATACTTGATAACTTTTGATTTTTTTTTTTTCACGAGAACTTCAATGAGATATTGACTTGCATTGTAAGGATATGAGGCTGGGAAATGGTAATGGCCAAATTATGAACAAGGGCTCAAAAATAAAGTCTTAAACATGAAAAATCTGTTAATTATAAAAAAACAAAAAAAAACATGAAAAATCTATTCAGGTTAAAAAAAAAAAACAGACACATGAAAAATCTAACAGTCGTCATCATTACATCATAACATGTCTGTGTGTCTGAGTTTACTTAAACAAAAAAGTTATGAAAAAATATAAGGGACTGTTCAAAAAAATTTATATCAATTAATAATTAATTATTATTAAAATTTAAATAAAAAATTTAAAAAAATTATTATTAATTTAAAATATGTTATTATTAAAATTTAAATAGATACTTGTTGATAAAAGATTAATTTAAATCGATAAATATTATTTAAATTTTAATAATAAATAATTCTTGATTGATATAAATTTTTTCTAAAGTCTTTAAGTGAATTTTTTTTTAAAATAATATGAGATAAAAATGATAAATCAACTAACACTCTGAAAACAAACCAAGCATGCATTTGGACGATGGAGAGTTGCAATTGAAGTGCATTGGAATGGGATTTTTCTTTTTTTTTTTTTTCAATTTGGTATTGGGTAAAAACAATGACGGAAAATAAACCAACGAAAGAGAATAGCTTATGGGCCTACGCTCTTCATGTCTTGAATCTCAGACCAGTCAAAAGCCCAACCCATAAAATCTTGCTCTCAGGCTCGAAGATAAAATCCTTGCAAAACCCTATCTCCGGATCATCCTCTACCTTTGGAAATGGCTGTTACCCTAGCCCGAGCTCCTTTCTCTTCCTATGCTCGCCTGTCCATCTTCCTTCCCAGACGCGTTCTCTCCACCACTTCCATGTCCATCACCCAATCCCCTCCTATCCCAACTACCTTCCTCGCTCGCAGATCTCTCAATCCTCTTTCTCAAGCCTTGCGTTCGCTTGCTCCGGTTCCCACCGTCACTCGTTTCACCGCCGTCCGATGCCGCGTCAACCGGTCTGGCAACTCCGCCTACTCACCTCTCAACTCGGGCTCCAACTTCAGTGACCGACCGCCCACAGAGATGGCCCCTCTATTTCCCGGCTGTGACTATGAGCACTGGCTCATTGTCATGGACAAGCCCGGCGGCGAGGGTGCTACCAAACAGCAGATGATTGATTGTTATATACAAACTCTTGCTAAGGTTGTTGGAAGGTATAATGTCTTTGGTTGCCGCGTTGCTCGGGAAACTGACAGTTTCCCTTCTGACTTGATTTTAAGAAATGTTTGAGCTGTTATTCACTGTACCCGTCTTTCGATTCTCCTCACTTTTCAGCGAAGAGGAAGCCAAGAAGAAGATTTATAATGTTTCTTGTGAGAGGTACTTCGGGTTTGGGTGTGAAATTGACGAGGAGACATCTAATAAGCTAGAAGGTTTGTTGCAGATTTTCTTTAATAGTTGTCTTTCTGTGCATGATCAGGACCTCAGTTTTCCCTTTTCTCACGTTTGTATGTATCATTGTTATTTTCGGTCAATAGGGTTGCCCGGCGTACTGTTTGTCCTCCCTGATTCATACGTTGACCCAGAAAATAAGGATTACGGTGGTAAGTATCGGAAGCTTTCCAGTGTTGCTTGAGCTTCGATGTTGGTTATTGCGTCTTCTTTGCTCAATTTAGTTCAGGTTTCTTATTTGTTTTTCTCTTAAAAGTGTACCAGTCCATCGCGATAATGTTAAATTGTCTTTCGTGCAATTTAGCGTTTAATATATGGACTTAAATCAAATGTCTCTCCTAACTGTTCTGTGCTTTATATGCTTTGTGGAGATGCAGATCAGTGGAGATGAAACACTTTAACGTTTTTGTTATTTCTCCTCTTCAGTGCTGTGTGTTATATTTCTGCTTATTCGTACTCATCGGAATTCATCTGCCTGAAATGTATGGTTTGCCATATTCTGTGGCTTATGCCCAATTGTTTTTAGGAAGATGACACGAGATGATTCTTAACCAATCAGTAGCTTGTTCTAAAGTTTGTAGTAGTACTCTTACAGAGCAATATGAATTACTGCAGCTGAAATGTGGTACACCTCTAATTTTGCTTGATTAACCTAGTTAACAAATGACAGTGTGTAGGTTCTGTTCTTTTCCTTTTCTCCTAATATCAGCAGTCCATCTTGGCAAAGCTAATAACTCTCTTTGGGTATTGACTAGTTTTGAATGCTAATGGACTCACATAGAATTTCTCTCTTATCCTGTTCTGTAGCTTCACCAGTACATGGAGTTACAGTATCATTGGAGTTGATACATCAATATCCCCTTGCAATTACTCCTTCAATCTCATAATGCCATTTCTGTTTTATTTTTTTTCTTCTTGCTAATTTTGGTGTTCAATTATGTTCTGTTTCTTTTATAAAAAAATAATTGGTCAGTTTGAACAATGTAATTGCTTCTGTCAATCAATCAGACACAAGTTCTGTTCTATTCCTCTTTCCATAGTTGTGCCAGAGCACTTTAAGATGTTTGATTTTAATCTCAGTTATCCGCTATGTTGTAAGATCATAATTTGCTTTACCTCTTGGTTAGCAGTCCATCTTGGCAAAGCTTGTAACTCACTGGGTAATGTCTAGCTTTGAATGCTAATGGACTCACATGAAAGTTCCCTCCGATCTTATTCTGTCACAATACTAGCCCATATAGTGTCAGAATCATTGGAGCAGATACAATACAAGAAGTCATTCTTTATACCATCTTTCCTCCATGGCAATAGTGATGTTTATTAATTTTATGTACTTAGAAAATCGAAAGGGCTGTGCTACAATATTTCTTTGAGTACGAATTCATATTACATGTGAAGATGGTCCATTGATGATAGTTCTCTTTGATCCCGATGAGGCCCTGATTATTCTTAATCTGTGCCATGACTCCAAACATGACTAATTGAGCTTTCAAACTAATTTGATGCAGCTGAATTATTTGTGAATGGAGAGATCGTGCAGAGATCACCTGAGAGACAGAGAAGGGTGGAGCCGCAGCCACAGAGACACCAGGATAGACCAAGATACAATGATAGAACTAGGTATGTCCGGCGTCGGGAAAATCAGCGTTGAAGGAGCCATATGTGATTTGAAAGATGGGTGTAGATAAGCTGAAAGAGGTGGAGTAATGTTCTTTCGTAGCTATCATTTGGATGCTGATATTCGAAGTGGTTACAATGCAATATGTTTGTAAGGGTCACGTGTCAGTTGTCGAACTAGCATGAAATTGTGTGGGCTAAAAAAGAACTAATGTTTGTGACACATTTTTTTTTTCCTTTTTTTTTCCCATGAAACATAACGTTGAACAAAATCTCTAGCAAATTCGAGTTATTTTGTTATTGTACTCAACCTTCAGGGTGCCATTGGCACATGGAAAAAGAAATGTGGGGAGACTTACGTCTGATAGATGGAGAAATTATTCTGTTTATTGGATGGAGTTTCTCATTCTCTTTTTTTCCCTTTTTTTTTTAACAGTGGAGTTTCTCAACAGTATATTGGGTTGATTTCTTGGTGTGGTGCGGGCAACTTTTTGTTCGATGGTTAATAGTTACTAATATAGGGTATTGTGCTTTTTAAACTTGTGACACTGTTAAGTTAGCTAGTAGTTGAAGATGGCTTAAAATTAAAACATGCATATAAAAAATGGCAGGATGAAATACTGTAGTAATATTATTATCTGAGCTGGGAAAAAGGTACTGTAGTAATGTGGTTATTGTGCTTAACTTGGGTAATTAGCTAGCATTTCGCTAATAAAATGAAACCGACAAAGGAGCCGCTTGGAATGACGGAAATTAAGTAGGTAGAGTTGAATCAATTTACTCTGTATTCTCAATTTTTGGATGGAGCAATTAAATAGGCAAATCTATTCGCTCTCGTTGCAACGTTAGGCGAGTTAAGTATATTAAGCTCTGGTAACAGTTTCGTGCTACCAAGATGACATCTTTTATGATTTAGTCACTCCACACATCCGAGGGGTTCCATCTGCTTCAATTATTACGACGGCCTTCACTCCAACACCATCTCGTGAACTTTAGGCCTATGGCTTCTTCGCCCTCTATTCCACACATCTGAGTCTTGTGTTATTTTGTTCTTCCCTTTATATTTTGTTCCGCCTACTAGGCACTAGCAACTACTAATAACATAAGTCAAGAACCATCGGTTTAAGTCACACTCATTTTTATATTCCTACTTCTTGACGACAAAATTCTACGTAATTTAAAAGATGACAAATTTTGTATGTGAGCGTGGTGTGTGCTACGTGTTGGGGAAAAGGGATAGATTGGATATAAAAAACTAATAACATCATTCCGGTTATTGTACAAAAAAGGGGCCATTTCCAGAAGAACGTACAACTGTAAATAATCTTCACTAAGAATTAACAGGTACAGAAAAATCAACACCATTGCCTCTCCTTTGCCATTTTAATTCTCACTCATCTAGACCTCCCAGAAACTTCCCCCCGATAGTTGCAATAATACTATAGAAGTACATGTAATACAGTGATAATATACCATAACATTTGAATTTCTTTCTTTTTTTTTTTACTAACATATCATAATATTTGATTACTTGAGAGATTTTGCCATTCATTAATTGGTTGCATACAACGTGACGAAGTTCAGTGGTGTCCGATGCCGCCGCCACCACCGCCTCCTCCACCGCCTCCACCCCCGCCTCCTGCTCCTCCACCAAATCCACCACCAAAGCCCCCTCCGACGCCGCCACCACTACCCCCTCCAAAGCCACCTCCAAATCCTCCTCCCTTGCCAATGCCACCCCCAAGGCCACCGCCTTTTCCGAAGCCGCCGCCGCCACCAATACCACCACCATTCCCAATGCCACCTCCCGCACCTCCGCCCCCTCCAGCTCCACCCCCCACACCGCCACCGCCACCTTTTCCAAAACCTCCACCACCTCCAATACCTCCGCCTTTTCCAATGCCACCTCCAAAGCCACCACCTTTTCCGATTCCACCACCGTGCCCGCCTCCTAGTCCTCCTCCTCCACCTATGCCGCCACCGTGCCCACCTCCGAGACCTCCTCCTCCTCCTATCCCGCCACCATGACCACCTCCTAAACCTCCTCCTTACCTATTCCACCACCAATTCCGCCACCCTTCCCAAAACCTCCGCCATGCCCACCACCTAGACCTCCTCCTCCACCTATCCCGCCACCATGACCACCTCCTAAACCCCCTCCCTTACCTATTCCACCACCAATTCCGCCACCCTTCCCAAAACCTCCGCCATGCCCACCACCTAGACCTCCTCCTCCACCTATCCCACCACCATGACCACCTCCTAAACCCCCTCCTTTACCTATTCCACCACCAATTCCGCCGCCATGACCACCTCCTAAGCCTCCTCCTCCTCCAATCCCACCTCCATGACCACCTCCTAAACCCCCTCCCTTACCTATTCCACCACCAATTCCGCCGCCATGACCACCTCCTAAGCCTCCTCCTCCTCCAATCCCACCTCCATGACCGCCTCCCAAACCTCCTCCTTTACCTATACCACCACCAGCACCGCCACCCTTCCCAAAACCACCACCGGCACCACCTCCTATACCGCCACCTTTTCCGAAACCACCACCCGCACCACCTCCAAAGCCCCCGCCCTTACCTATCCCACCACCTATGCCTCCTCCCTTTCCAAAACCCCCTCCGGCACCGCCACCGAACCCACCCCCAAATCCACCGCCTCCCCCGACTCCACCACCGAAGGACCCTTCCTTCCCGACAGTCTGGAACTTCTCGTCTTCGTCACGCCTCACATTTGCCACATTTCTTGCGAACACGTTGGTCGCAAAAACATGGATGCAGCAGCAGCAGCAGCAGCAAACCTATCCTTCCCATTTTGTGCTTCCTAACACTAGCTAGCTAGTCTTTGAGCACTGGCCAGTTGTGCCTTGTGAAGCATGAAGACGCCCGCGGGATTTTATAAGCATTTGAATTCGATGCTTACTTAACCAGTCTCAACTACTAACCAATCGTTACATTTAATGAGCACTTACAATTCAGAACGAGTTTGGTGCACCGGCTTTTCACTGTACTGTGTAACTTGATAATCTATATGGCACGGCATCGTAAAAGTAATAATCTATATGACACGGCATCGTAAAAGTAAAAATAAGTCTGAACAACCCTAACATCACAATAATGCTGTGCTTCTTCCCCATCGCTCCTCACATGCCTTGCTAGCTGCTCGGGGACCTCTTCCCTCTCAAACTTGCATGTCAGCTTCGCCATGCAATCTGATACCTGCTTGTTACAATATTAGTTATGTCTTACATTTGTGTTTTAATTCAATCACTTTCCAACCGTGCCGCGTTAAAAATCATGAGGTTTTTCTTTTTCCTTAGTTTGAGGGTGGCTCTTGTATAGTTTTGGCAGGAATAATTTATCATGGGCATAAATTTAAAAAAAAAAACTCTAAAAGTACCAATATAATAAATACAAATTAAAAAAAATTCATCTCAAAAAATTAGCATATTATAAGAGGGAGTTTATCGCACTTATAAACCTTACTCGACTTGAAACTTTCCTAACATAAAATTCATGATATAATTCTTGAAATAACGATACAAATATTATATTTTATTCAAAATTTGTGGTTTAATTAACAAAAATATTATTGTGCTTTGTTCAAATCATGTACATTGTACAGTTCAATCAAAAAATTATGTATTTGTTTGCAACTGAGAATCATAAAATATTAATCATGCGTGAGATAATTCAAAAATTGAACATAAAAATGTAATATATATATATGTGTGTGTTATTTTTTATAATTTTTGAAGTGATTTTTTTAGCTTATTTATATATATATATATAGTTGCACTGTAAAACCCGGCCGGATCGCAGGCTAGGAAAGCCGGGGGTGGAGGAAAGAATAAAGAGGATGGGACCTAGTGCTGGTGAAGGATTCATGGAAAGCTTGGAGACGAAAATGGCGACTTGCATCAAGCATGTGCTTGGTAGATGATAAATTTATTGCTTGTCGGAATCTCCTTCCATTTTCTTCCTCTACGTAGCTGGCATCCACACCATATCCCATCTGGTATATGTCTCCCGACATATACACACATGTTTATATTTCTTTAATTCTGCCTCATCATTCTATTCTTCTATCCTAATTATTAATTCCTTTTTGGCACCAGTAATTGAACCCATATATCAATCACTATCTAGTTTATCAAGAAGACCACATTTGCCAATATTGGATATCATGGATTCTTATTTGACTAATTTTAACTCTACATCATATTATATATGAGCCTATATATGAATATGCATTTTGTGATGTTATATGTAAAACAAATGTGAGTATCGTCATTTGGTAATAACATCATTTAGTTTAATTTATAAATCCTCGCAGCACTAATTCTTGAATTTCATGTTAAACGACACAACACGTTGAGAGGGCACCATTAACCTCGGAGTGCTTGTGAATAGCCATCAGAGGGTCAGTGCGTGATTGGTTAATATATTGACTAAATGTGACCGAGAATGTCGGTGGTGCAAACGTAGAGACAATTTTAGGCGTGAGCCGAAGGGAAAAAACAAAATACGTTGGGCCCAAAGATTCAAGCCACGTGTTGGGTTCAAGAAGCCGGCTATTGGGCCTTGTCTCTGGGATCCATTGTATTGTAGCGGCGCTTGGATTTCAATGAGCTCTAGAATTGAAGTTGATTAAAAATGTCTATATTTTATCAATGAAATAATAATAAGAAATGTGCGAAGTGGGTTTGTTCTACATTTTCTGTAAAAAAAAGATGCAACAGTGGGTGGATTCATGTATTCTTATTACGTTTTGTTTTTAGCATTTATAATTTTATTGTTCAGTTCTCAATTTTTAGTTTAATTTGCCTATGACGTTAACATCTATAATTTTAAAAGTCTACATAAGAATTGTGAATTGATACCGATAGAACTAATTTTGCTTATGCATATTCAATTCTATTAACTTCACTGCTAATGTGTTCTTAATCGTTTTCTTATATTTTGTTTGAGCCAAATATAAAGAAAAATTTCCCCCCATGTTTTATTTTTAATTATAATTTATCAATTTATTGCATATCAATGTTAACATCATATTTTTAGAAAATTACCCCTATTATTGCACGCATTGACGTGCACGACTAACAGAGGTAATTTAGGAAAATAAATAAATATGGAAGTGAAACTAGATTGGAATCTCATGTTTAGGACCAACACAAATGCTTATACATTTATTATCGTGAAAGTATGAAAAATTTTTTGGCAAATTTGATGCACTATATTATTTATGGTCCATCAAATAAAATTGTAGCAGTTCAATCAAATAAAATATTATGTATCATTAATTTTAATAATTTTATTTTTATAATAAAATGCTTTTTTAATTTTTTATATTATTATTAATGTTTGAATCAATTTATATTTAATGTTATTTAAATATTATATTTTTATTAGATAGATCATAATGGTATGTTGAATTAATTCTATTAAAGGATTTCCCGTGAGAGTGTTATACAATTACATACACACGCTTAAAATATTTTTACGGGTTTAATAATTTTGTTTATAATCTCAAGTCATTAATATTTACCTCTCTAAATTCAAAAAAACTAAAATGTCAATATTTTTTTTTATAAGTTAACCAATCGACATTCCCCTTGTAAACAAGCGACTCTGTTACAAAAAATTACCACAAAGTGTTTGGAAACATGAGAAGAGCAAAAAAAGAAAGCAAGAGTTTTACCCTAAAAAAGAAAACAGAAAGCAAGAAACAAGCACATCGGATTCATCATCGCCATCACTCCAATAAATTAGATTTCAAATAGAACGACCACTGTGAACTTTTTAAAAAGGTTGATACCAAATCATAATTTTTTTTTTTCCAAAAGATTTTCACCGTCAAAAGTTTAAACGTACGAGGATACTGCATTTGAGAATTTTAATTACGATGAGATTCTAATTAAAATTGTTTTTTTACGAGGCCTTTAATTATCATTCTCCCAAAATTTTAAACATGTTGAATATAATAAATAATAATATTTAAAAGTAAAAATAAAATTATATAAACAATGTCGTACAGATAATTATAACAATTGAACTAAAAGTGTACATAACATATTTCTCCCGTTTAAAAATATAAAATATTTTTAATTAAATTTTATCCATCAATAAAGTAATTATTTGTCTTTAAATTAACCCTATACTTCATATTTACTCCTATTAAACACCCTATACAAATAAAATAACCCATTCAATAGGCGCTTCTTTAAAAAAATATAATGATTATATCTTAAAATATTAAAAATATCTTATATTTTTAAATATTAAATTCTTTAAAATATATTTTATATTTTTAAACAAAAAAAGGATATTTTATTTCCCACAAGGGGGATGCCTTAGAGACCTAGGGATAGAAATAAGAAACAACTTGGTTTGACCCAATACTTGTTGCCTCTATTTATACTTAAATACGTATAAACAAAAATTTATTTTATTTCATAATTTTTATACCCATACAAATTAAAAGTACAAAACAACTTGTTATATTATCACGTAAATTAGTTTAGAATTTATTTCGCTTGCATATTAATAAGTTAAACAGATTATTTTATCCACTTGCTATTTACAATTTATCACTTTTGGGGATACAAAACATTACCTTGTATATGTTAAAATATAATTAACAAATATTTTAGTTTGATTGTGTTATTATGTGTATAATAAAAGTAAAAACAATAAAACAAATTTAGTATTAGTCAACACTTAGGTTTTTTTTTCAACAATTTTTGTAAATTAAATTTGCTAATTCAGTCCCACATAGATCTTTAGTCGAACGAAGAGCTGATGCTAATTTGCTATTATCATGTTTCTGCTCTGTAAGAAGATTCGATGCCATCATGGCAAAGCTACCGTTATTAAAGAGCGTCTAGCAGAGAGTTTTGTGTTTTGAGCCACGGACATTTGCTTCATCACATCAATAATGAACGTGGGTAGTTTCGTCATCTCACAAAATGGCATTTCTGTTATTTAGTTGAAGAGAAAGGGCATATCTGAAAATATCTATCCTATATATATAACACACCTGCACGCCTCCTAGATGTCTCACCTCCCTCCTTCCGGCCGAAGTTAATCGTCTCCACTCTGCGCTTCTTGCCGCGGAGACTTCTGATTCTGAATAGGCTCTTCCTCTTTCTCAGATCCCATCGTATTCTCCACCGTCCTCCCATTTCCAGACCGCTCACTCTTTTCCTGTAGCAGAATCCTTCGTCTTCTCACAATCTTCCATTTTATTTGTTTTTCTATTGGTCGGATTCTACATCTTAGGTTTTGGCCCTTCAATATCCGACCCATTCTCGTGCGTCGTCTTCTTCGATCCATACGTGGACCCTGCCCCATTCTTTTTCTGTTTCTCCCTTTAACGATGAGGCGAATATGACGCCTCCACATTAAACAATTCTCGAATATTCATTCCTTCTTACGGTTTTGCCCTCTGGAGGCAACTGTGTCGACCGTTTTGTGCTCACTGACGTGGCATGATTTGGATCCTCCATGACGAGTCATTGTCCTCGTAGGATTTTGCCACCTGGCGCGACGAGAAAGCGGAAGGAGAGAGAAGCCGTGTGCTTCCCATCGGCCCCACCAGCAGCGACACCAACTACTACGGCTTATTCGGCTCATGCAAAGAAGCCGGGGAGGTGAAGCCGATGTCATCGAATCGGCTTCTAGCCGGCTACATGGCTCACGAATTCCTGACAAGAGGTACTCTGTTTGGGCAGAAGTTCGACTCGGGCGGAGCGGAATCTGTCCCCTGGGCTGGCTCCAGCTCCTCAGCTTCGGCGCAGTCGAGCATGATAAGGAAGGAAAATAATGGTTTCGCTGAGATGGCAAGCATAGTGAAGTCAGACGGGACCCACATCCCGGGCGTTGTGAATCCAAGTCAGCTCTCTAGATGGATGAAAACATGACGTGGCGAGTTCTGATTGGGAGAGATGCATAAATGTGCGAAATTGTTAGTTGACAGCTAAAAGAAAGGTGGTGAGTAAGTCTCGTATCCAATATCCACACGATAAGAGCATAAAAGCGGGATAAGTATAAGCATGGGATTACGGTATGTTGTTTCCCCTGTGGAGTTTTTCCAGCAGGGTTAACAGAACTAGTAATTGTATAGAAATAGCTAGCTAGCGCCTTGCCTTGGGATCATATGTTTTGTTTGATTTATGAAGAGCGATCGATATGGAATATAATAAATGTATTGCTACATATGTGTGGGGCGTTGATTGATTATATACATAATGCAGCCGTGGAGATGTATGCATGTGTGATCCATGTTTTGAGTGGGAGCTGAACTAAATGGATGATGATGCTTTTGTGTGTGGTTGTGTTTAAATTTTAATCTAGTTAACAAGCTTCGTGGTTAAGTCTCCATCGGCGTGCACAATTGTGGTAAGAATGTAGCCAGATGAAATGTGGCTAGCTAACTCTAGACTTATTTCTTACATTTGTAGGTTAATTGCAAAAGAGCGTATTTAACTGATAAGATTATTGCTGCATGGTCTTGTAAATGCCTTTTGGTAATCCCTATTTATATTTATTCAGATACCTCAAGTCTTTCGCATTTTAAGTTTCCTGGTCAAATTGGTAGTTAGGATCGCCTGTGTTTCGATTTTTAGTTTTCACCACACAGCTTAGTTTTCACCACGCAGTTCTCCTGCAATCTCTTACCCCCCCCCAAAAAAAAAAAAGTTATTCTGCGATGGACGACTTTGAGAAATTCTAGCTGGAACAAATGATCGAGAACATATGAAGTTCTTAATGGAGATGCAACAGACACACACACACCCCCCCCCCCCAATGCTCTTCCCTAAAGCCTATCCCTTGATGTAGTTTAGCAATGTTGCAGATGTAAATTAAGCGCAGATCTTCAATAACGTCGTCTGGGAAGCAGGACTCGCTAAATAAAAGAGGAAGGCAAAATAAGCCTAGTGTGGTTTGGGTTTAATGGTTTTCAAAGCGGTTTGACATTTTTTTTTATTGTAGCATATTAGCATATATGATGTGAGAAGTATTTTGAGTGATTGCATGAGAATGGTTTATTATTTGATGCATCTGATTGGGAATTTGACTCTTAACTTTTTCTTTAAATAATTCTCGATGGGCTTTGTCCGGGTGGTGAATGCCCCTTCTCTTTGCAGCATTCAAATAACTTTACGTTTAAGACTAGAGAACAAGGTTGGTTAAAAAAAAAAAAAAAGACTTGAGAACAAAGTAAAGTTATTTGAGCTTGGCCTGTTCAAAATTTGACTTACAGTTCAAAACTCTTTCTTCTTTTGTTGGACTATATATACCAGATAAATTTAACGGATATTGAGTTATTTAAACGCGAGTGAAATTTCAAATAAAATCCGAGCCATGTCTGTCACTGAAATTTTCGAATATAATTATTATCCTGTAATAAATATATTTATTCAAAGTAATTAAGGTCAAAATGAAATAGCAGATACGCAGGGAAGAAGGTAAAGGGGGAGGGAGAGAGAAAGAAATAAGACACCCGCCCAAATTGTCTCCTTGCATCCGCGAAATTTCAAAAATAAAATAGCTAGATAAATAAATCACATTATGCATAACCTAAAAAAAAAAATGCATATTATTTTGCGAGCAAGTAATAAAAAGTGTTGGGTTTCTCTTCGTCATTTCAATTTTGTCACTTCAGTTTCTTGATTTGGATTGTTCCTAGCCCGCATCATGCATGCAGACCAGAGGAATATGGATCAAATTTGGATCATCTGGAGATGGAGAAAGGCTTTGGAAGTCGAGTGGTGGGAGGCCAACCCCGGGATGGACCGAGGCCTCTTGCCTTGAGTTGAGTTCTTCATGTTCTTGACAAAGGGCACAGCAACAGCAGCAAAAGCGGACGCAGCAATCACAGCATGGCTCATCTGGTAACCCATGCTTTGCTCTCACCTTCTCTCTGTACATGCACGAGTGCACCCACTGGCACTACATCATGTCAACAATCCGTACACTATCCCTGCCCTACGCACGCTTTCATTTTTCCATTCATGTTTCACAACACAAACACGTCATTATCAGCCTTCTTTCATTTCATTTTCTCACACACGAATACTTACAACTTCGTCCTTCGTCCACTACTTACTGCAATTTGGCCGAACGTTATGCATGGCAAACAGCATGTTATACAACCTGCGTCGTCATTATTCATTCCATTCATTATTCAGCATATGTGCATTATAATATTCGTTTCTGTGCATTCTCGGGTTTTGCCCACAACCACAAAGGCCCGCCGACCATTTTGGCGGAGCAGCCCGACCACTAAATATCGTCTTCATCTCCCACGCCCAAAAATATTTCCTTTGAAAACCGACTACTGGTTTTAGAGTGATATAAGTAAACAAAAGCTCAGAAAATTAGAATTTCGGAGTTTGATGACTGCACATTTTCGGTGTGGTTTACTGTATTTATGCTGATCACGACTCGACAATGTGTCAAAATGAAACTGTTTTCAACTTGCATGGTTTACACTATTTGTCTTTAGGCAAAAAGATAACACTGTTTACTTTGTTTAAGATGTTTGAAGGAAGCAATTTTAGATACGTGTCATAAAGGTTAACGGCAATGTCCTTCGTCAACATCGTTTAGCTGACTGCATTTAAGCCCTAATCGTGTCATCATATGCCGTCTAAGCAATATTAACGAGTTTCTGTCTTCGTTATTATTACTAATTGTTCTTCGCCGTTCTTCTCATCACTTCGTTATTTTTCAGAATTTTTCCAAATGATAATTTAATAGAAAAATTTTCCCGATTGAGTTTGCTTTTATAATTAGAGAGCTGAATTTTATCTTGAAAATCTGAAAGAAAAATTTATGAAAAAAAAAAAGAATAAAAATCAGAAGCACACTTTGAAAGTGGATCAGTTGGGGAATTCGCCGATCTTTTATTGTTTTGGAAACAGATTGGGCTGGCTTAGGTCACTCAAGTTTAAGATTTATGATGAAATTCTGTCTTCTTTACCCCTGCCACCATCTATCGACGTGCGCGGGCGCATTTATTGGGCCAATGATTCCATCCGTGGATATAAAGAACCCATATAACTAATATCTGACTTAAGACCCAATTATCTGGGCTTGCTGTAGTAGTACCCTTTAACCAGGCCAAAAGATTCTTCACTACTTTCGAGCACAATCAAACATTTCTTTTACTACTTTTGACCATTGAATGTATGCTGATAGATTTCTTGATGCTTGAAATAAATTTGGGATAGCATGTTGTAGCAATAGTATGTCAAAAATTTCACATTATCTAAATGAAGAGCTCTACTAGTATATAAATACTAAACAATAAAATGAGCTAGTAAAATAAATTTGAAGGAAAAATGAGCTTGCGGGCACGAAACAGGTCAACTCAGGATAATCGTAGTTGAAATCAGCCAATTCGCCTCTCCTTTCAAGAGACACTAGGTTTTTTTTACCAGATTATTTTTACAAAAATAATAATAATATTACTTACCATAAAACCTCAAATTTTCATTGCTTGAAATTTGATTTTGAGCCTTGGTCGTTTCTAGGTATTAAACCACTTTTCAAAAGTGATTTTCTTAATTAATTTGTTAAACGCTCTTGTTTGCCAACGGCTCTAGGTTAATAGTGTTTTATGTGTGTGTAACCGAAGTTTTAATCCTGTGATTTATGAGCTAGCATTTATGTCTCTACCTTTGACCTATATATAACCATGAGTGTGGACAAAACAACTCACCAACCTCTTGAGTTTTTGAGGCATTTCTTTGCTCCTCTGACTTCTCTCCTTTGTTTGAGTTATTATTTTTGTTAATACTGCTGTTTTGGTACTTTGTTTATGCAAGAAGTGCTTGTTTAATTTTGAAAAACTGTTGGTCCATCATCCTAGTATGCCAAAATAATTTTTAAGGACAGTGTCTTTTCAGGCAGACTCAAGCAACTCACAATTTGTATCCACACTGCCAACATAGCGAACTATTTTACAGGCTGTTTTGCATGATTGAATGTTTATCTTCATTTTGCTTGAGATAGATATATATGTCATTTTCATATACTGTTTATACAAATGAAGTTGAAGCTTTATGTGAAGCATGTTAGAAATTCATTAGATAAGGAATGAATTTTATTTTACAGACAAATCTATCAAACCTCCTATCAGTTACTTTCTTGTAAAATGACAACATGGAATCACGGTCAGCTTTGTTTCAGCTATGAATTGTACTTGTCTATATGATAGAAGTAAAACTGTTTGTATAAATGTCCGGTAGATATTGATGCATTGGCTATTTCTAATCTAAATCACAATTATCATGGGATCGAAAATTTGAACGCAATTGTACGAGTCTTCAAGGCTCTGACCAGGGCTAACGTCAGGATGGCGATACCATCAGATCAATTGCAACCAACTTGGGCAGCTCGGAAGATATGAGGAATAATTTTCCATTATATGAATTAGAATTAATTCTAGCCTGTCGTTTGATTTGATGCCCTGAGAAAAGGAGGAAGCACTGTTTATATTCTTTCAAAACTGGGCCTAATAATATTAAAGCATGCCCCATTATTAGATGCATCTCGTTGACATTTACCAGAAAGTTGAACTTCCATCATTGGTAGGAGCAAAATCTTTTGTTATGTATTCTTCAATCTGATGTCAGAGTTTTGGTGCTCTCACTGTAAATTCCATTATGGGTATTTCGGTGTATCACATGCTTGTCCATCACCGTTAGTTGTCAATGATTTTCTAGTTGATAATTTCCTCGTGACATCAGCCAGTTTCTCTGCAAATTATTGGTGGAACTTTCCAAACCATGGGTTGATGTTTCAGATTACATATTATAATCTATTACTCTAAATTTTTATTTTTTCTGTCAATGCCTGGAGGAGGCATGTATTGGAACTTTGGGTTAGGTCTGGAAATGTTAGGTTTATAATAATTCCACAAATAAAGATAGTCCAAATAACACTGCAGAACACTTCCTTCTTTTTCTTTCTTTGGCCTATTTGGTTTGGCTTAGTGGTAATGTCTCTCTCATTATTTTATACATCCTCCACCGAGAAGGCTGGGTGGCCTTGGCGTTTGATTATTAGTCTCAGAAATCAAATAAAATTCAATGCTCCCCACTCAGAGAAGGGCCATTCAATAAAATTTAATTCTACCACTGGATTGTCTCCACCTTGTGAAAATGAACTTTCTCAATGATGAAACCTTCAGGAAGAACTGTATTGATTGATAATATATGGTCCTCATACTCTGGAAGCTGTGCAGAAGCCAACTTTGCTAATCTTCTCCACAAATTTTAGCAAGTCACACTGGCTATGCCTTGGCGTACACTCTTCAGTA